AGAAGTTTTTACCGTGAGAAAAAAAAGAAAAAGGAAAAAAAAAAAGAAAAAAAAAAAAAAGAAGAAGAGAAACTACCACAAGTTGAAGTTGAAATTAAAGTTATTTAAACCTTATTTCATCTTTAACATATTTATCTAAATATCATATTATATTAGCAAAGTGAGGAGTATTAGGTGCTTCGGTTGCTTTCGGAGTGCACCAACACTCGATTATTGATTGGATAACTATTATTTATTTATATAAAAATCACAGTACATTCAAATAATTAAGTCTGTCTAGTATAGTTATAATTTTAAGTTTTTTTATTTTAATTTTTAAATGCTTAAAAACTTTAAAATAAAATTAAAAAGTTCTATAATTTACCTAGGTTCTACAATCATGCTATGCGGTTTATATTTTTTAATAATTAATAAATATAATAATATTAATTTATAATTAAAATTAATTTTTAATTAATATATAAATTATTTCAAATATATAATATATTTACAGAAATAATATAATTACAACAGATTCCTTCAACCCCTAGTGTAGTTCATGTGGAAGGTTTGGCTACTGCATGGTCTGAAATTTGCAAATGATCTGAAATTTGAAAATGATCTGGGATTGGGGATTATTGCTGTGGAAAGTGATTCAATCGTTGTAATCCGATCTACTGTTGTGCCACTATAGGCTCTTTCTGTTGCGGGACCTATAATAGATGCCATTAGAAGGACTGTGCGCATCGGGCTTTCACCATATCTCTTTTGTGCACGTATGCAGAGATTGAAATAAGGTAGCTCTTTCTGTTGTGGGACCTATAATAGATGCTATTAGAAGGATTGCATCGGGCTTTCACCATATCTCTTTTGTGCATGTACGTAGAGATGGAAATAATGTAACCCATGAAATTGCTTCATCTCGGAAAAGTTGGCGAGAGAGCCGTTCTTCATGCTTGAAGGCAACCACAGGAACTGTCCCAAACCATCCTTTTTGTCCCAAAACGGCATGTCGTTTGTTATCCTGTGACTGATGTCGAAGATTCTCCCATCAGCATATACTTCGCGCCGAATAGGAATCAGATTCTCGTCTCCTGAAGAGAGTGTGCAGTCGGTGGGGTCGAAGGCGCCGGGAACCGAGGGGTAGGCGATGGTGGCGGTGGTGGTGAAGATGGAAGAGAGGAGGAAGAGGTTGAAGATCGGAGACATGGTGGGATGAGTTTGACGAGAGTGAGGAGTGAGGCGGAGCAAGTAGAGTAGAGACCGGTGGTGCGTTTGGTTGGATGGCTGGACAAATCATGGCAGCAGTACCTTTCTTTTTTTTTGTATGGACCTGTCTGAAAGTTCATTACACTACTTATTAATTTGGATTCGATTAATTTGAATTTGAATCGGTTAGATTTGATGGAGGGTGAAACTTTCTTTTACAAATTTTAATAAAATTGTATTTTTAAAATTTTAAAATTAAAATTTTTAATTAAATTGAATAATTCCATACCAATTCACCTACTCACTCATTAGTATGTTAGCAGTATTTCAAACCAATAAAAAAATATCACATGAGTTTTTTTAAAGGCCTCATCAATCATCGAGAGGATAATAAACAGTAAATTCTAATTTAACTCGCGGTAAATTTTTCAAAATTGAATTCCCGGTAGACACTTTTTTTTCCGGCTCTCCTCAGCCCTGTCTTTAGCGTCTTCTGTTTTTTTTTTTTTGTTTTCTTTTCTTTCTAATTCTATTTTTGCACATAGCTACCATATTCTTCTGTTCACAGCATCGGTAGAGACTCACGGTCATGGCTATTGCAACTTGAGATTCAAGGTGAAACTAAATATTAAGTTTATCTTGTTTAGGTATAACTATTTTCAATTAATAATTTGCAATTGTGAGGTTTTGCTTGTGCAATTTATAGATGTTTGCTTTTTGGTTGATTTGGTTGAAGGAAGAATAGGTAGAATTAGTTATAAGAAATTAAATTTTTTCATACCCACCAAGTGTTAGATATATTTTATGAGTAAGATAAATTACAAGGGGGCAATGTTTGAGTAAGCTTGAGGAAGATTTTGTTCTTTTTCACAAAATTTCTACATTTTTTACGTATTTCCTAACTTATGACATTGATGGAGCATTCTTTGTTAGCTGGGACACTCTATTTGCAGATCCTCCATTGAGTCTAGAAATCATCTTGATTGATTGGAGATAGGTTTGGCATGCCTTTTTTATGCCATTAGTGATAATATGTAATTTGCATCCATAGCATCAAAAGATGAAATTCTTGCCTTTTCTTTTCATTTTTTTAGTTTGTATGCTATGCAAGTGATTGATTTTTGGTAAGCTAAGCAACTTATATAATCTTTAGACTAATGATATATTTATAGATTGAGAATGGGATTGGGACATAAAGTTTAAAGAAGCTAGCCTTTCATTGTCTAAGAAACCCCATTTAAAGAGTTAGCCATGGCACAATGACTACTAGTAGAAAAATAGAGGGGGAACATCAAGGTCCAAGAATTGATTTTTTTTTTTTTTTTTGGGTCAGGAAATTATCTTGTATCATTTTCACAAGGAAATTGCCTTGTATCATTTAGAAAATTACAATGTATCTTCGAATATTGTTTTATTATTAATAAAAGTTTATTTTTCAAATAAAATATTTTTATTTTGGTATAAATTTAACTCTTAAAACATATTATCATCCAGATGAGTAACAAATGCAAGTTTTATATAAAATCATTGTGAAACACAAAAGGTATATTTCAATTTTAGTATAATCATCTAATATACCAAAATATTATCACATGATCTATAAAGTGACTCTCATAATTTATCCACATTTTCAATGATTTTTTTTTTTGTCAATATTTCATAGTCATTTGCAACCTGCAGATAGGGGTGGGCAAAATCGGTTTCGGTTCAAAATCGAAACCGATTTTGAATTAACCAAAAAAATTTGGTTTTAATTTTGCAAACTGAAACCGAATCGAAATTGTTATAAGTTAATCGGTTCGGTTATCAAATTTTATCAATGAATTCGGTTCGGTTTCGGTTTTTATTAAATAAATATTAATTAATTATTTTTTAATAATAAATTATATTTTATCACATATTTTATTATATTTTGTTATATTTTATCATATTTTAATATATTTTATCTAT